GGGCTGTGGGGCCAGGTACTAGGAGAGGGGCAGCTCGGGGCTGTGGGGCCAGGTACTAGGAGAGGGGCAGCTCGGGGCTGTGGGGCCAGGTACTATCAGAGGGGCAGCTCGGGGCTGTGGGGCCAGGTACTATCAGAGGGGCAGCTCAGGGTTGTGGGGCCAGGTACTAGGAGAGGGGACCCTTAGGGCTGTGAAGTCTGACCCATCCCCTCAACTCTATGTTCTGCAAAATGGAAGCTGGAAGGGGGGTTAACCCTGTCCACCTCCCTGCTTTCTAGGGTCCTCTGGGAGGAAACTCAAATCAGGATGGGTCACCTGGAACCCTCAGAGTCAGAGACAGGTTAGAGGTTACTGCCAAGAAGCCTGGGACAAAGGTCCTATAACCATGCACAGAAGCATGGGTACCCTTAAGTAGCCACAGGAAACTGGCCTCTGTAAACATCCTTCACATCCTTTGGAAGGAGACAAAAAGGAAAAGATCCATACTTATTTGGTACCTTCAGTGTGTCATCCCAGGCAGGTGTCCCTGTTATATATCCAGGGTTAGAACTAGGGTTCTAATTAGGGTTGTGGGTTAGAACTGGTTGACAAGTTGGAACTGACTCACATGGCTGACCGCCATCAGCTATGATGAACAGCCATCAGGGTTTCTGAGGGTATCTATCACATGGGAGGAGAGTGCCCATCTTTCTCCCTCAGAGTCACTGATGGACTCGCACCCCAAGTGCAACTCCTTACAGTCTAGCTTATCTGCTTCTATCACAAATAAAGAAACCAATCAAATTAACTGTTTAAGCTTATTGTAAATAAGGGACAGAGCCAGGATCACACCCAGAGCTGACCCCAGAGCCCAAGTTCCTTTCATTCTACTGGCCACGGTCCATAGAAGAAAGGCCAAGCTTCTCCTTGAACAGATAGGCCCTCAGTTCCAGCACCCCCAAGGACGTGGGGCTACAACGCAGGGGGTCCCCAGTAACTGAGACATAGGGAAGGCAGAATGATCAGGAGAAAACCTACCCTGGCCAAGCCCAAGCACACTCACACCCTCCTTAGCCAGAAGCCACCAGCTTCCTTACTTGGTCTCTGCAAGGCTTTGAGTTTTGCCTGTTTGCTTCCCTGAGTGAGGGGCCGGATCTTGAGCTTGGCGAAGTCCTTGGACAGGGCTTCTGCAGCTATGGAAAGAAAGCAAATCTGGAGAAAGACTCTTCTGCATAAAGGCCCCCAGGACCTGGAAGCACAGATGCCACTCAAACATACAACCATGCAGTCAGGGACATGAATGATTGATGCCTCTCAGGGTTCTGATATTCAAGCTGGGCCAGTGACAACTTCTAACACTCCTCTTTTTCCCCAGAAACTCCAGGCCCTCAGGTGGATGGATACCTGTGCTCTCAAATGGGAACATATGTACACAGCCGTCCATCCCACATCCCACTTGTGCTGGTCAGGGGCCACAACAGTGAGACGACGCTTCTAACACCACGAGTAGCTGGCTCCTTGCCTTCTGAAGCCCTGGGCTTTAACATCTATCACAGATGACCCCAATCAAGATCTTCCTGGAGGGCAGGCACTCACTGCCTGAGTTGTACAGGGTGACCACATGCAGCACTCAGACTACTGACAGACCCCAGGAGGCCAGAGTTGCCAGTAGTCTTAGGCCCAAACACCCAACGCTTATAGATGAGGAAGCTGAAGACAGCCAAGGCCCATCTTCTGCACACTCAACTTCCCCCTTCACTAGGCAGCCTCTGACCCCTTCTTCCTCCCTTTCTTCACGCAAGCTTCCTCTGGGGTATAAATTCCCACCCTGATTTGCTTCCACAGCTCCTCAAATACTGCCTCCCACTTCTCTGAGGCTTTTGGCCTCCTGAGAACTGGACCCACACCAGCCACGGCTGCCCCTGGCTCGGCTGCTCACAAGTGTGAGGGGAGGCAGCTACTTACACCTGCAGTGAGCAGCAGTGGCAGGGATGGCAAAGCCGGGCAAATCCAGGAAAGGAGCTGAGGAGGGGGCAGGACACCAGCGTACAGCCAGGAGGCCTGGGAGCTTTCCTGGCTTGGACACCAAAAGCAACTATAATCTTGAAGAGCCACTGACATTCTGGAAATCTCGGTCTCAAATGGGGTCATCTGACCTACGTCTGGAAATTGTTATGAGAGCTGAATGAAAATGTATAAACCTGAACCACAGCAGCAGTAGTGAATGGGCTGATCTATAAAATCAGCCTCTTCATATGGTTTCATTTACTCTGTGGAAGTAACCAAGGCATGGCCCATGATGAGTCCTCGGTAAACTTTACCTAAATCTGACCGTGTAAACTGAAGGCATTAACATGAATGTGAAAGGCTACGGTTTACTCCCGTTAGCTTCCAGGGCTACATCCAGAACCTTATGGAACATGAGACCTTCTAGTCAAGTTAGCCTGCACAGAGATGCACTATCCCCACCTAGGGAAATAAAGCCATCCTGGGTGACAACAGGCACTCGCCGTTTAACAGTGGACAGAGGAAGGGCACCTCACCTGAGGTCAGGCAGGGAAAGATGCCGAGAGCATGTGTGTCATCCACCCACTGGATCTTAAAGCCCTTCTCTCTATGTAAGGAGCAAAGAAAGAGGGGTTATGAAAATGCATGGCCAAACCTTTCTCTCTTAACATCTCCCTCCTTCAATTCTCAAATAGGAATTTGAAGCAATAGAGAAGGGAAGTCTTGCCAGTTCCCATCACCACATTGTCTCAGTCTTAATGAGCTGCTCAAGCTGAATTTTCTTCCCATAAAGAATGCAATGACAGTTCTCAGGACTTGTCCTTAAGGACAGACTGTCTGGATGAAGGACAAGGGTAGGCAAGTGCTCTGCCCATCACCCCTGTGAGACTGATGGGGGCTTCCCCTAGGTCTAGGTAGGCAGGTGGGCAAGCAGGAGGGTAGGGTCTTAGGAATGTCTACAACCAAAAAATTCCCTTTCCTCTTCCCTGGGTCATGGCCAGGAGGCCCGGGAGTTGAAACCCAGGATAAGCAAATCAACCTGCTGTTTGCCTTTCTGGATCACTAAGTACAAGCAAGTGTCCCCAGCTACAAAGGGATTTTCTAGCTCCTCTCCAAAGACAAGCACCCAGCCTCTGCTGCCCTCTGCCAAAGCACTGCCAGCACTCACTGGAACTCGGAGAACGTCGTCAGCAGGTCCTCTGTCTTAAGCGCTGGTTCAAAGTCATAGATCTCCACTACGTGGCCAAAATCCTTCTCTCCAGGCAGCTCCTCTATGAAGGAGGATGTGTCCATGTAGATTCTCTCGACCTCGATTTCCTTCTCGGTCAGGTTGTCTATTATCTGGGTCAGATCAGATCCTTTAGCAAAAAATGCACTGACACATGGGGGCTCTGAACTGGTGCCAAAACCACAGACAGTCCTGCGGGCTCCTGAGCTGGCAGGGGGGAGAGTCAAATGTATTTCTATCGGAGCGTGACCTGGGAGGGATCGGATAATGGTGGCAGATTGGGCTGGGAGATTAAGAATTGTGAGAGAACTTACTGGACAGAGTTCTAGAGAGCGACAGGAGCTTACATACATTTTGTCATGTAATTATCCAAACTATATCCCATGCCCATGCATCCATCTCACAGATGGGAGAAGTGATGGCTTAGGAGGTAAGTCATTCCTCGAAGGTACAGAGCCAGAGCTGGGCAAGTCCTAGATCTTTCCTACCCTTATTAACAATATGACATTAAAGCAAGTCTTTTTAATCTCATTCCTCATCCATAAAGTGGCAATGCAAGGTGGCTTCCCTCCCGAACTAACAGCAAAGCCAATCTCAGGACACAGTACCAAGGAGATTAGGTTTCTAAGATAAAGATCCAGGTAACAAAGTCATCCCCACGACCAACAACTACAGTGGTAGCCCTCAACCTACCTACACATTCAAATTATGATGAAACATACTCAGGATGACTTCAGTTTTTATTTGTCTCCCCTCTAATCCATCTCATAAGGGACCTCTGGTGGCCTAGTCATAAGGAGTTGCACTGCCACGCCCAAAGCAGACAGTTCAAGTCTACCAACTGCTCTGTGAGAGAAAGACAGGCAATTGCCTCTCATGCAATTTACTGACTGAAAAAACCTGCTGGAGGGTCTGCTCTGAGTCGGTTCCTACTCAGCACCACCTAACAGTGTTATCACCTCATCACTGTCTGTTCAAATTGCTCCTAAATCATTAAGTTCCTAATTTGGAACTCAGACTCACAAATCTATGCCTCCTGAGTCCACATCCTTAGCTTCTTTACCCTAGACTGTATAAGTCCTGATTCCTCCTGGCTAAATCCCCATTCTCCTCTCCTCATATATCCTAAGGGGCTCGCATTATCCAAAGATCAGCCCTGCCCAACCCAGCACATCCAGACCAAGACCGCTCTGTTCCTTTCCACAGACACACCCACCTCCCTTCTGGATTTAAAAGCCTCATCACCTCTTGCAGCAGCTCACTGTAATCATCCTCCGAGCAGCTGCCATGGCCCTCCTCCTTCACCTCTTCTTCCTCTACCTCTGCTGCCACGCTCTTCTCTGGCTGACTCTCCTCCTCTACTCCCAGTTTTGGCTGCAGGTTGGACCCAGGCTGTCTGGCCACATCCAACCCATCTCTATCTCCTGAATGACAATCAGGCTTTGGGTTTTCAGTGCCAATTGAACCCAGTGGTGGCTCATTCTCACAACTCTGGCCCAGGTCCTTTAGGTCCTCTGTTGCCTGGGCCATCAACAGAGGGAGTCCCTGATCAGTGTTGAGGTCCCCAGCACCAACATCTCCAGGCTCCTCTAAGACATCAACTGCAGCATCTCCTTTAAGCTCTGGCACAGGGGTTGGTGTTCCTTCTTCCTGTCTTCTCAGCATCCGGGGTACATACAAAGCCTGGTCCGGCTTCCGTCCACGGTGCCACCGGCCAGCCCGTGCCCCTCGGGGACCAGTGGCCACTCCTTGGTTTGAGTTGGGCCGAGGACCACGGTACTTGCCAGGGTGGGTGCCAGGAGGGTGACAGGCGCCAGTGAGGCCATCTGAACTTGGTAGTCTGGAGGAGGAAAAAGAGGAGAAAATTAGAGCATTGTTTAGGCCCAAAGGAAAATGGCTAACTAAAGCTACATCTCACTCCAGCATGTAGTTTTCAAGTCTACATTAGGCCAAATCTAAAGCCAAAACTATTCTCAAAATCCCTAAAAAAGACATCATAGTGGAGGATGAATGCCATCTCTCACTATGCCCAAAGAAGCCAGTTCTCCTTCTCCATCTCCCCTAGTTATAAACAGAATTGTTGCTGTTGTGTGCTGTCAAGTCAGAACTGACTCATAGCTGATCCTCCTGTGGGTTTTCAGAGGCAGCAAATCACACAAAAGAAGACCACCCATCCTCCTCCCACAGAGCAGCTGATGACTCTGCACTGCATGCCTTTGGATTGCGGCACAACTTCTTACTACTAGGGCACCAGTGCTCCCTACAAATGAAGTTAAAGAGAGTAAAATCTTTGACTAAGGACCAAATCAGGTAAACACTATGTTCTTGGGAAAACATGTACCTATGAACACCAGACTCAGTCATTATGACGAGATGCTCCTCCTGTTACAGGATGCACTTGGAAAACGTGATGCTCGAAGGAGTGCAAATAGATCTGCTGCTTCCATTCCTTGGTCTCAGGCTCCCTCTGAGCACATGCTCCCTCAGAGGTGCTGGACAGACTCCCTCTGGCTACATAAATTTCCTCAACTCTCTTCCCTGCCCAAGGTCTACAGTTGAATGCAAGTCAGCAAATGCCACAAGCAATGCATGTCTACTCTATTGCTGAAGCAAAAGCCACAACTGTGCCTGGGAATAGAGGAGGCTAGGGGTCCCAGCCCTGAGTGCCTAAAAGCTTGTCCCTCTTAAGGCAGCTGACTAGTTGACCCCAAACCACTCATAAAGGCTGGCTGAGGGCCCTCCAAGGTGGTAAGGGAAGGTACATAGGATACACACCTGATCTCCAAGTGACAGATGACTGTCCTCCTCCTCCAACCCTCCCCAACAGAGAAGCTGCTCAAGAGATCAAAATTCTCTGCTGTTCTATGGATCAGGTATCGGAGGCGACTGGAGAGCGGAGGGAAAAGAAGTACCCTGGGAAGGGACCAAAAGGAGTCTGAGCAGAGAAGGCAGGCTCAGCGGCTGGGGCCTGAGACCCATCAGATCCATCCCCAGTTTAAAGTGACTTAACAGTCATCCTTTGCAGGTTCCAGACCAACTCCAAAGGCTGCGAGCAAGTTACCAGTGCCCATGCCCGAACTGGGTCCCTTCAACCTCCAGGAGGCTGGGCGCCAGCATCTGTCCCTTATCACGAAAATAAGGAGCAAGTGTTTTATTCATGAGAAAACAGAGGCTCAGGAAAAGGAAATAACTCGACCGTAGTTATAAAAATAGTAAAGCCTACGTTCTTGGTTTTTTTTTTTTTTAGGTTCTTGTTTTGAGTGGAGGTAGGTTTGATTCCAAAACCTGCCCTGTGATTTTTATTTTCTTTTTCTGTCTCCTATTCAAAACATTGCCAAGGAAGATGGAACTCAGACCGAAGGCAAAGGTCCGAGCCGGCAAGCCCAGGACCCTGGCGGCTGCGGGGAGCCCTGCCCTTCCTTGTAGCAGCAACGCAGGCAGCCGCAGCCGCTCCAGGGCCCGCACACCCCTTACTTTGACAGCTGCTTCTGCAGCAGGAAGCGGTCCAGCTCCTCCTGAACGCGGTGGACGAAGTCATTCTCGGCTGCGGAGAGGAAGACACCGTCCAAGCAGAGAAGGGCCAGGGTGACCGGTGGGAGAGTCTGCGGGGAGATGCGGGGCGGGCCCAGGATCAGCGCCCCGATCCCCGGCCCACCCACGACCTGGCCCTGTCGGCACTGAAAGGCGTCTGGACACCCACTAGTCCGAAGTCGGTTCTTTCACGAGTTATGAAAGGGGCTCAGAGAGGAAGGGGCGCGCCCAAGAACCTCATCAGAAGATGGAAAGGGGGAACTCCTGACCCTACATCTGTGCTCTCTCCACTCCTTCACCAAGAGATGGCCTCCTCTTCCCGGACCCTCGGCTCTCGAGATACCAGTGCGGTATCGTGTGGGAAGTGAGGCCGAGCTCCCGCACCCCCCACATCCTCCTACCCCACCCCTGCCGCACGGCTGCGGGGACCCGCGGCCCCATCAGAAGGCGGGGAGGGCCCGTCCAAGCGTGGGGCTAATGCTGGGTCCCCCGAGGGGCGGCCTCAGACCTGCTCCGGCCGGGCCGGGCGCCTGGGAGAGAAGACGTGACCCGAGGGAGAACTGAGGCTCAGTCGCACCACCCTCTCCCAGTTAGAAGAGGGGCCTGGGCGCCCGTGGAGTCGGACCCGAGTGGGGCAGCGCGACCCACCAGGCCGGCCGCCGGCACGATCGCTCACCACCGCCTTCCGCACCGCCGCACCGCCGCACCGCCGCTCTAGGAGCCCCCGCAGGCTGCCTTTCCCGACGCTCTCGGCGGAGACGCAGCGCCACCGCGCGGCCTGGGGGAGGCATCGCAGGGACAGCTCAGAAACCGAAGAGGGACTGTGCTCTCTTACTGTTCTCTCTCCCCCACCGCCAACTCAGCTGTCCCTCCAGTGAGTGGGTTTTCCTAGGCTGTAAATTGCACAGGAGAAGACTATCTTCATCTTTTTTTCCCCTCAGGGCTTCAGGTGGATTCGAACTGCCAGAGAGCTGTTTGGTTAGCAGTGCAACTCCCTACAGATCACACAACCAGTTGTGCTGTCAAGTAGGAACCACCTCACAGCTATGGATTGTCAAAGGAGAGTGTCCATCTAAATTCCTCGGAACAGGTAGTGAATTCAAACCAACTGCCTTTGGGTTGGCAGCACAACTCCCTACTGACCAGAGTCCCCCTTTATTGGGTGCCAGCACCTGCCGTTTATTCTCACAACAACATAACTATTAATTTAAAATGGTAAACTGCTAATAACAGAAAATAACTTGCCCAAAGATACAAAGATAGTAAAATCTATATTCTTGCTTTGCGAGGAGGTGGATTTTCATGTAAAAACAACTAAATTGAGCAAATAAGCTAGGTAGTTGGTGTGTCAGATTTTCCAGTCGGCTGGCCCTGTCATTAGGATAATAACAGACTAATAAAGAAGAAGGAAGTTTTTAAGCATCGTTCTTTCTCCCCATTAATGGATCTTGAAGAGACACCAAAGGATCATTAACAAGACCCTCCAGCCTTGTGAATAAATAAGCTGGGTGGCCATCAGCATAGAGACTTTCAGGATATAAATTAATTTCCCTATTCCATACAAAAATAACTTCAGTACCTACCTTATACAAGACTTGAAATTCTTACCATCAGACAGCCCTTGGGAAAGGCTATTATAATCTAGGAGATCAAGGTTGAAGTCATTTGTTCCCTGAAAAGTGTCAAACTCTAAGTCCCTAATTATCCTGAATTCAGAATCCCAAATCAAAGCAGGACTCTGAGCTAATAGCACTGAGGACTTGTGTTTGGGTACAAAATAGAACATTCCAAATTAACCCCACAGCAGAATATAAGCAGAGATGAGGAGAGAGAGTTCAAGAGAAGTGAAGAACAAAACTTAGTATTTTGTTGTCAGTCTGCTTTGCAAACTTTCACCCAAATCAAATAAAAAATGTTTTTGAAGAGAGAGAAGAATTTTCCTCACAGGACTTCTAAAAATGATTATAGTAGTCGATGTTAGGTGCTGTTGAGTCACCATATTTACAAACTCTATTTTCCATGGCTCCCATTAAAACAATAAAAAAGAACCTAGAATAAAGGCCATAGATTAATGGTGATTAATTTTATGAAACACAAGGTATGGGCGTGATCATATGAAATAAGGTGAATGAATGTGTCAAAAACAGTGCCCTTGAGTGAAACACAACACATAAGAATTTTGTATGCAAACCAATATAAAATAAAATTTTTAAAAAAGAATGAGATAAAAAGCCCTAATAGCACAATGTTCGAGTACTCATCTGTTAACAAAAGGTTTCAAGCCACTTTTCTCAGCAGGAGGGAAAGGTCTGGCAAAAAGTTCCCAAAAAGATTGCTGCTGTTATTGTGTGCTGTTGAGTCATGACAGGCTCAGTGCACACCCTACAGTAGGTTTTCAGAAACAATCAGTTTCATGGGAAGATACTGCTTATCTTTCTCTCTCCAAGCATTTGGTGGATTTGAACCAACTAATTTGGGTTAGCAGAGCAACTCCTTATCACCAGACCACCAGATCCTTTGGAGCTGGTCTACCATTCTATAGGTTCCTATGAGTCTAAGGGACTAGAAGGCACATAACTAAACAAAATAAAAGCAAAACCATATGATTCAAATTTTAGCCAGATATTAGAAAGGCCAATCATATATTACAATAACAGCAGGGAAGTTTCAAGGCAGGTCCTTCACAGAGCAATCAACCATACAAGATTAAAGGGCCAGAATTTATCCAGGGATACAGCTTAGGAGCCAGAAAGAGACAGCATAGAAGGACAAATGGGAATAGGAAACACAAGGAGACAGTGGAATCATGTTCTTAGTAGGATTGCAAACAATGCCAAAGGAAAATGTTTCTGTATTCTTGTAGGTAAAATAAATTTTTACTCAGATTACAATAATAATTAAGAAAAAAAGAATCATGTATTTCTGAAAGAGTAATAAAAATAATTTAAACTTTAAAAAAAAGTCCCAGAAAATATAAAGCAAATTAAATCAACACAGTATATTTTCCAACTACACTGGAATCAAACTAGAGATCAATACTAGAAAGATAACAGAAAAATATACCCAAACATTTAAAAACTGTGTTTGGGGAAGGAAATGAAGTCAAGGGTGCAGGGGGGTGGTGCTACTATTTCTTCCAATTACAAATGAATCTACAATTATTTAAAAGAAACGTAATTTAAGAAAATAATGTCAAAAATAGTAAATTTACAAACACAGTTAAAATGTTTAACAACAATAAACACGAGGGGGGAAATAAGACCAAATATTTATGAGACATTTTTTCTGTCATCTTAAACTTATTAAAGTTGTTACTTTATATGAAATATATACAGGGAATCCTGGGGACACGGCCCATGGGGAGTTAAACTTCTAATTAAAAGGTCATGCCTCTCTTTGGTGGTTCAAATCCACCAGGACTTCTGCAGGAGAAGATGAGTAATCTTCTTCTGTGATATTTACAGTCTCAGGAAACTGACTGGGAGAGTCAGCTATACATCAGTTCTGACTCTATAACAATGAGCTGAGTTGATATTGTTGCTGTGATTATTATGTGCCATCTCGTAGCGACCGTATGCACATTAGCTCGGAACCCTACTCTATTGTGAACCAATTTGACTATCTCTGACATACCTGCCATCTCATCCCAGGATACCTATGCTGTCCCTCCACCCTTCCAAATATGATGTCCTTCTCCAAGGACTGGTCCCTCAAGGCAACATGCCTAAAGTATGTCAGACAGAGCTCCAAAATCCTTGCCTCCAAGGAGCAGCTTTGGTTTCTCCCTCTCCAGGACAACCAGGAGAGTTGATGTGGAACCAAGCAATTGAAATTGTTAACAATCTCAATCTCTTTCTTCTCTATGATGTTGTTGTCAATTGGCCCAGTGATAAGAATCTTTGTTTTCTTGATGTTGAGTTTCAATGCTTATTAGAGTCTTCAGCAGCAAACACCTCAGGTCCTCCTCAGTCTCAGCAAGCAAAGTTGTGTCATCTGCATAATACAGGTTGTTGATGACTCTTCCTCAAAATCTGGTGCCACATTCTTCCCCATAAAGTCTAGCCTTTCTGAATGATCTGTTCCGCATATACAATGAAAAAGTGTGGCGATAGGATGCATCTCTGGAGTATACTTTTCCTGAATTTGAACCATGCAGTGTTTCCCTGCTCTGTTCTGCCTCCAGGTTCAAGGATAGGGTTCACATGAGCACAATCAAGTGTTCTGGGATTCCCATTCTTCTCAGGGTTAGCCGCAATTTGTTGTGATCCACATAGTCGAATGCCTTGGATAGTCAATGAAACACAGGCCTAACAATAAAATAAAATTTGGAACAATTGAATCATTTCTGACTCAGAGCTATCCCTTTATTTTGTTTCTGAGGCTTTAAGCAGTAAAATGAGGCAACTGTCCATCTTTCTCCTGCAGAGATGATGGTAGATTTGAACTGAGAGAAACACACAACTCCCTGCATTCTACAGTCCCAAAGCTCAGCTAAAATATGTAATAATAGCAAATGTAAGGGGGAAATGGGAATGAATATTCCCTTAAATATTCTATAATCTTAAATTTATCAAAGTTGTTTTCTTTGATATAAAATACAACATTGTGGTTGTTGTTATGTGCCACTGAGTTGCTTGTGACTCATGGTGACCCTGTGTACAATAGCCCTGAAATCTGCTCTATCTTGTGCCAATCTTATTGTCTCTTGATATCTACCATCATTACCCCAGTCACTGAATCAATTAATCTCATTGAGGGTCTTCCTCTCTTTCTCTGTCCCTCCACCCTTCCAAGCATGATGTCCCTCTCCAAGGACTGGTCCCTTCCTGCAACATGTCCAAAGTATGTCAGATGAGGCTTCAGAATCCTTGCCTCCAAGTAATAGCCTGTCTTCACCCTCTCCAGGACAAATCTGTTTGTTCTCCTAGCAGTTCATGGTATATTCAATATTCTTCTGTAGCATCATAGTTCAAAGGCATCAATTCTCTTTCTATCAACCCTAGTCATTGTCCAGCTTTCTAACGCATAGCAAGTAATTCCAAAAGCTATGGCCTGGATCAGGTGCACCTTAGTCTCCAGACTGATGTCATTGCTCTTCAGTACTCTGGACAGGTCCCTGACAGAAAACTTTTCCAATGAAATTCGTCTTTTAATTTCCTGGCTGCTGGTACCAAGAGTGTTGATTGTGAAGCCAAGGAAACTGAAGTTGTTCTCAATATCTTCACCATCTATTATGATGCAGCCTCTTGCCATTAGGCCACCAGAGCTCGCCAGACAATCTTTGTTTTCTTGATGTTGAGCTTCAAACCATATTGAAGGCTGCAGTCCTTGACCTTCTACAGCAAGCACTTCAGGTCCTCCTCAGGTGCAGCAAACAGGGTTTTGTCATTTGTATGACTCAGATTGTTGTTGAAACTTCCTCCATTCATGAAGGCACATTCCTCCTCATAGAGGTCAGCCTCCAGAATGGTCTGTTCTGCACAGGTATGGAAATAGGACACATCCCTGGGGTACACCCTTCCCAGTTTTGAACTAGGCAGTGTTTCCTTGCTCTGTTTTAAGGAATTCTTCCTGATCTAAGTATAGGTTTCACATAAGCACTATCAAATGTTCCGGGATTCCCATTTTTCTCAGAGTTAACCATAGTTGTGGTCCACACAGTCAAACGCCTTTGCATAGTCAATGAAACACAGACATTCCTCTGGTACTCCCTGCTTTCAGCCAAGATCCATCTGACATGAGCTATAATATCCCTAGTGCCACGGCCTCTTCTAAACC